TACCAGCTCCTTTCAGTTCCAAAGTGGATTCAATTTGGCCTCAAAATATTAACTTAACTTCTCACTCATCAGATGCATCCAGGCCTGGGAGATTTCCCCAACACTCTCTGATTTTATTTCTTTTCTGTGGAATTTGGGCATTATTACCAGTTTGGAATTCTGCCTGTTCGTAACAAATGAGTTTGCATATTTCTGTATCATTCTAACCAAACCAGTCTTGGCGCTAGTTAGTGATGTACTTGAAGATGTCTTGGCATGGATGGGTGATGATCAAGAGTCTTGCTAGGAGCTACTATGTCCATATCTAGGTTTGGAACTCACAAGCTGCTAACATTATATATCTCTTAGGTCTCCCTGAATAATCCATTAAAGACCTGATGTTCTAAGAACTAATTTTGACTGTATTTGTGAGTTTTGATCACTGATGGACAGTCCTGCTGAATGTAGCATTCCAACAGAGTTTTGAGTGGGACAAGTGTTTGAATACACTTTTTCTAATCTTTCTGCCTAGTGGGTGTACAGAGCTAATCCTGAAGAGGGATTCTCTCACAGCTACGTCCACTTTTTGCCTCAATTAAGAATTAAATTATTAACTGAGAACTGCGATCTTTGTATCAGGTTCTGAATAAAAGCTCCAACATATCACAATTCTGACCTCAGTGCCACTTACAGGTTGCAAATTTCCATCTCACATCTTGAATTTTAGCTCTTTTTTTCCACACTTGAACCAATACTGTACTGAGATTACAAACCAAGGGATTCTGTCAGAACCTGAACTGAGCGTCAGTAAACAGGTTATTGCTTCGTAAGTGCCACTTAACAAATCTAACAATGAGACCTTCCAATACTGTACCAGTATCCGCGAATAGACTGAAGGAGTAGTAAATAGCTCATTTGGATTTACCCTTATTTCTAACAATTTATATAAATGACTTAGATGTAGGGACAGAAGGTATGGTTGCTAAATTTGATGACGACACAAAGATAGGTGGGAAAATAAATTGTGAAGAAGATACAAGGAGACTGCAAGTCGAGTGAGCAATAAGGAAAGCTAATAACATGTTATCATTTCTTGAAAGTGGAGTTGAAGGGAGAGTGTACCTCAGTTTAACAGAGCACAGGTGAGACCACATCTGGAGTACTGTGGTCACCTTATTTAAGGAAGGATGCAGATGTATTGGAGGCAGTTCAGCAAAGGTTTACTGGACCAATGCCTATAATGAGCAGGTAGTCTCTTAAGGAAAGACTGGACAGCCCAGGATGGCACCGAGTGGATTGACTGATTGATTCATTGTCACATGTACCAAAATACAGTGAAAAAAGCTTTGTTTACGAATTGTTTATGATTGTGGTACAGGCAGATCACAGCAAGCAAAGGATGCCCAAATCAAAAAGACTTAGAGGCAGACAGGTTACATTACAGGTTACATTATTTGAAGCTAGAGTCCACTCAACAGTCTGATAACAGCCAGAAAGAAGCTGTTCCTGATCCTGCTTGTGCGTGTGTTCAGGCTTCTGTAGAAGAGTAAGAGGTGATTTGATTGAAATTTATAAAACCCTGAGGAGTCTTGACGAGTATATATGGAGTAGATGTTTTAGCTTACAGGAAAATCAAGAACTAGAGGTCACTGTTAAAGTTCAGGGGTCACCTGTTTAAAATAGAGATTAGGCAATTTTTTTTTTCAGAAGGCTGAGGGTGTTTGGAACTCCCTCCCTGAAAGAGCAGAAGAAGCAGTGTCCTTAAATGTTTTGAGGACAGAGATAGGTGGATTCTTGTTAAGTAAGCATATGACGAGTTATCAGGGACAGATAGGAATGTGAATTTAAGGTTTTAATCAGATTAGCCATAATCATATTGAAGAGGGGAGTGAGGCTCAATGGATTAAATGGCCTACTCCTGTTCCTGATTCATATATTTATTTGACGTAGCAGGGCAATTTTCTGCATTGTTCGTTAAAGGTCAGTGTTGAAGCTGTCTTGAATAGTTTGGCCAGGGACACAGATAGTTCTGAAACACAATTCTTTGGTACTACAGCTGAAATTTTGTCAGAACCCATAACCTTTGCCGTATCCAGTACTTTCAGATATTTCTTGATATCATGTGGAGTGCATCGTGTTGACTCAAGACTGGATATTGGGAATCGCAGGAGGAGGCTAAGTCATTGACTTCCACAGCTATTGGTTGATCCACTTGTTATCATAGGTCTTACTGAGTAGGGGACCTTGCTCATCATGTCACAGGTTACTGTAAAGTAGGTTCATGGAGGGATAATAAGACATAACCCTATACATTACAGCACCCTAAACATGCTGCCAAAACAGTCAGCAACTGCCTATATATCAGGAGCAGCTCTGCTTATTTTTGCATCCAACCTTCATGTTCGCTGCCTGCTCTGGCCATACGCCACCTGTTGGTGAACTTGGTGAGATACTGCTTTCCCCAACAACACACCGCAGACAAACCCAGATTTCAGTTTGGTTCAAAATGCTTCTGAAATGTTAAAGGGTTAATATCTGTTCTGCTGACATATAAGAAATTAGGTGCTTCGTGGGCACCCCTGTCTTGCAGACAAAATGGGTTAATCTAATTATACTCTGCTCTCTGTAAATGTTGAACTAAGGCTAAAAAGATCTTGCAGACAAAAGGTGGTAATCTAATTATACTCTGCTCTCTGTAAATGTTGAATTAAGGCTAAAAGGATAAGGAACTATCTAGTCTTACACATTGTTTTTGGGTGGCTGACCTTTGTTTTACTGTTAGATGATTAAGTTACGTGATTATGGGGGAGAAAAAAATTGTACCTGTATGCATGTCTGACTGTGCTGTAAAAACCTATATAAAGGGAGGACGGTTCCCTTACAGAAAGCATCGCTTGACATGGCTCCGCAAGCCCTGCGAAGACTGTTAAGTGATCCTCCAAAGCTTGTACTTGCTTAAATAAACTGTGGCTTTTCACAGAAGTTGGCGTATTGCGTTTGTATCAAGTGCGAAGGAATCTCCTAAAAGGGAACTCAACACTTCTATGTTATCATTTGTGAAAATAAAGTGTGTGGATCAGCTGAATATGTAGACAATTATATACCTTAGGGCAGAACTTTCACTGACCTGACTCAGAGGGGATACTTCTGTACATCAGTGATTAGTTCCCCACATGTTGCCAGAAGTAGAATGCGCAGGGCTGGAGAACTGTAGCTACAAGAAGAGATTGCAGAGGCTGGGATTGCTTTCCTTGGAACAGAGAAGGCTGAGGGTGACATGGCTGTGGTATACAAAGTTGTGAGGGAATAGAGATGGAATGGACAGGAGGAACCTGTTTCCCCTGGTGGAGAATACAAAAAGCAAGGGTCATAGAGTCAAGTTAAGTAGCAGAAGGATTAGAAGGAATGTAAGGAAAACTTTTTTACACAAAGGATGATGGGTGTCTGGAATTCACTGCCTGAGTTGTTGTTGGAGGCAGAGACCCTAAACTCTTTAAAAAGTACCTGTATCTGCACCTTAAGTGCTAGAAGCTGCAGGGCAATGGGTCAGATGCAGTAAAATGGGATTAGAAAGTGGCATCTGGGTGTCTTTGGGTTGGCATGGACAAGATTAGCAGAATGGCCCCTTCTGTGCTGTATCACTTCTCTGGTTCTATGTAGACCCTGCTGAGTTGACAGCTGAGCCTTGAAGTCAAACAGAGCCTTGAAGTCAAACAGGAAGAATCACAGCAATAGGTAAGTCCATACCAGGATAGGGTGCAAATTGGTTTGAAGGAAGCTTGGCCAGGAGGGGAAAAGGGTCAGATGGAAGCGTATTGGAGTTTGGGATAATACAACCTGTTGAGGCTATGTTCTGAGCAACAGGAATCTCGCCCTGCTAGTGGTGTGAGTGTATTCAGACCCTGGTGGTGGTGACAGTGTTGGTGATCCAAGTCTGACTGGGGCAAGTGTAGGAGATAAAGGCCTCAAGATGAACGCTGTTGGGGGTATCCTGACAGCTACCCAGGCACACCCTTGTGTCTTGGAATAAATGTGAAGGCACTCAGTTCCTGAATCCACAAAGTCCTCCAAATCCTTGGTTTGAGAAATTTGCCTATTCCCAATGCTCAGGTGACCCAGCTGGCAGCTGGTAAATTCTACACACAGACTGTGCATGAAAGTCAGGCTCACAGTCAGATCAGATTTAAAGTTCAAACACACTTAGCAACTTGTTCATCCACTGACCTTCTGGCCTCAGTTTAAACCAAAACAAGGTGTTCTGGAGATGGGTTTGGAAAAAACGATTACTGACTCTTCAACCCCCAGCTGACCGTGACCACCTCTGTTCCTTTCAGTTAAAAATTAGACAACTGTCATAATTTATATGAAATAACCCAAAAACCCAAGAGATCAGAGACTTATGAATGACAGGGAAAGTTCTATAAAGATTACAAATACATTGTGAAAAAGGCAGAAGCCTCATTCACAATTGGACCCAACTCTAAGGTAGATAATGTGTATCAAAGCTGAGAAGAAAAATGGCAGACAAGGAGATCATAGGTTTGAAGCAAATATTAGTTGTTCTTACTTATAAAAAATGACAATGAACAATATTTTTAACTAATAATATACTTTTTGGAAATTATCACGTTGTGTTATGCAGATAACAATGATGTATATAACAATACAGTGAAAAAATATGTATTGTATCAATAAACGCTGTGATAACAAAAATATTTCAAGATAAATTGGTTTAAGTCAGAATATTAGATTCTATAACTTCAACTTCGAATTTGTTTGATTGCCTTTTTACTCAAAGATTCTATTTTGTCAATTGCTGTGATTGTCAACGTATTGAACAGAAGTTATTTAAAGCTTCCTTGCAAAAATTCCCTGTTAGTTCTGATTAAATTAGTTCTAGTTTAAAAAAAAATGTGAAACATATGTGTTCAATGATGGGCTGAATCATTTGACACCTATTTAAGTACAATACTTGGTCTTCTGGAGAACAAACAGAATGAAAGGTGAAGTGAACAACTTACAGTTAACAGTGATATGGACTTTCTTCTCATCGGCATTGGAAACCTCATTAGCGGCTTTGCACTGGTAAATGCCTGCTTGGTACTTGCTGATCATGAAGATTTCTAGGTATTCCTCTTCCTCTTCAAATTCCCTGGCTAAAATAGAAGTTATAGTGGTGCTAATTAAAACAGTTGTATCACACATTCACTTTTTCCCTTTTGTGAAATTGAACATAGCTGCAGTTGAACAGAAGCACAATTTAAATTTACAATCACAGTTTACATTTTAATATATGGTGACTAAATGTGGCTCCAGAGATGTCTTAATTTGTGCCAACTCACTTTAAAAGATACTATGTGAGTTCAGGCATCAGCATCAGCCAGTTGAACATTGCTTGAATACCATATACCCTTAGTTCACTTTTACAAGGCCTAAGATTGGGCAGCACTCAAATGAACTACATTTAATTCACCAGTTAGCAAGATTATAAGCTTCAGGTTCAATGATTACAATTAACAGCAACTACAAGACAACTTGCATAATATTAATAAGAGGATGGAAGTCATAAGTTATGAAAATGCAATATCTTGGGGAGACTTTATGCTGAAATTGAAGGTATTAAGAGTCCAATAAGAACTGGAACTATGGGTAAATTGGCCTTGGTGCAATTGAGTTTTCATATTATTTTTGGGAATTAATAGAATTGAGACCAGGGTTGTAGAGCTGTTGAGAGAACCATAAAGTTTTGCTTCCATTTGTTCATGTTGAGCTGGATAAATTTAAAGTCCATCAAACTGTTCATGTCAAAACAAACAGAGAATATGGAAGAGTTGGAAGATGAATGCTACATATCTGAATGTTGATCTCATCTCGAGGATTTTACCAACATGTAAAAGATAAATAACGGTGGCAGTAATAAGAATGGGGCTCTTCCACAAAATACAGGTGATAGCGCTAGAATGAGCAGAGAGTCTGTTTGAAAAATATAATGATATACCAATTTTAAATAATGACAGCAGTACCACAGGGGCACTCTTTGTGGAGAAATGTTCTCAGATTATAACTCCATCAAAGTCATGACTAAATCTAAATGGGTGAGTGATAGTTCAGATTTTAGTCATTACATTAACACGCAGTGTTATCAGAGTAAATTCAAAGGAGTTTAACAGAATTACAGTGTTTTAAACTTCTTTGTACACAACTTAAAAATGTGAAATCAAAGAAAAAACTCAGGAAAGAAAATTCAGTGCACTAAAATGCATCCTTCTGGTTTAGTATGTAATTGTTGCTTGAATGTCCTTAATATTGTAATGATATGGGCAGGTTTTATTTCTCTAGCTGCCTATTAATGGTAGAGTTCAACCTTTACTAAAGAATACTAATTGTTAGGTCCACTAATATCATTATTCATCTCCTTGATGCCACTTAAAACCAGAAAAGTTTATGCCATAATCAACAGTATCAAAACTGCATATATAAAATCCAGTTCAAAATGTGAGTTCGTCAAAAGCATTATGTACATGTTATGAATACTGATTTCAGGACTTGATAAGTTCTCTGCCAATTAAAGGTTTGTGTCATACATAACAACTTCACCAGCAAATGCTCAAAAAATGTTATTTCACTGTGCCTCAGAAATTTATAAGTCAATAAGTGGAAAAGAAAATAGGAATAGAATGTTGTACTTTGTTTTTGTTAGGACAATGCACCAATGATTATTAATATAGTATTGTAGCCACGAACTAAAGTCGCTTGCTCCCTTCGAGAATAGATTTCATTATCAGAATATGATTTTGTACCAAGAACACAAATTTCAGCAACAATTTCCGATACTTTATTTGCTTGTGGCTATAACAGAAATATTAACTAGAATCATAAATGCTTTCTGCTGTCTACTATTGAAGCAAACTAAGGGAACTGACTTTTTGCATTATCGGAAATAGGAAACCATTTAGTAAAATTTGAAATGACATAGTGTACTGCATATTTTCTCTTGCACATGGTACCTTGAGAGTGTCAGCACATTACACCAATACCTTTAGGATCTGAAATGGTATCTGTAATTATAACAGTCAATCTGTGTTGTGCACAGTGTGTTACCCTCAACCCTTTTTTTCCATGATTGAAAATATTAATAATGACACAGTAGAATTGGGAATCGAACTTCATGTACATTTACCAGAAAAATGAGGCTGAAAAGGCAGATAAATCACTTAGGATTTAGAAGGTGTCCTGTTTTTATATTATGGTCTAATTTCAACTCATCAGCAGGCAAGTGACTACACCTATGACCATAATCCACTCATTATACCTACATTTAGTAATTAACATTTATGAAATAAGACAAAATTGTGATGCTCTAAACTCAATGAGATGTGACAAAAGACAAATACTGACACTAGTATTTAAATCACTTCTTCTGATGTGATATAATAGTGCCCTAATTTGCGTATGATCAGTAAATGCCAAGTACTTAACTTGTAAAGTTAGATAATAAATACACCTACAGTATATGAATCAGAGGCAGGACTTCTGTTGAGTGGATTCACTTCTTGGACATCAAGATTATTTTTCTTTTATAGATGTAGATTTCACTGGCAAGGCCAGCATTTGTTGCCCATTCCTAATAACCCTTCAACCTCATTGATGTGGGTCTGGAGTCACGTGTATGTTATCAGATATGGATAGTAAATTTCCTCACCTGGAGGACATTAGTGAACCAGATATGATTTTACAGCAATTGCTCACAGTTGTCGTGGTCACTAAAACTAGCTTTATGATCCAGATTTAATCACTGACTTTAAATTCCTCCCGCTGCTGTTGTGGGATTTGAACTCCTGGTTGCAGAGCACTTGTCTGGTGCCTTTGCATTACTAGTCCAGTGATGTTACCACCATGCTACAGTCTCCCTTTAATGTGGTAGCGTTAACAGATCTTGCAGTATTTATTGTTGTGACAAAGCATTATTAACATGGTGACAATAAATCTGGCTATGATTCATCTTTGCTTATTATAATCTTATATAAATTGACTGGTTTGGTCGTCCATACATAATGCAATCAAGTTCCCAGACTCCAATTGTCCCAAAAGTATACTCTGGCACAAGAGATTAATCCAAGTCCTGTCCTGGTCTATTTGTCTGTCTCTGTGACATTCAAACTAATTAATGGTCTGCCTTCAAAAGGAATCAGGTTATATTTTTATATCAAAACACAAGCTCAGCCTGTGCTTCTGTACTGATCAGGTACAGTGATACAAAAAATAAAACAAAGAATTGTGAATGCTGTAATTCTGAAACAAAAACAGAAATTGCTGGTGAAAATCAGCAGATCTAGCAGCATTTGTGGAGAGAAAGCAGAGGTAGTCTTTTCACATCCAGTTACCCCTCTTCAGAACTGCAAGTCACAATTCCTGAAGAAGGGTCACTGGATTCAAAACATTAACTCTGCTTTCTCTCCATGGTAATTATTGTTGGCATGTTTATCTTACGTTAAATTTTTAATTGTTTACCCTTCTCCTACCAGCTTTGTTTTTTATATAGTTAGTGTCTAAACCCAAATTTTGATCTGTCATTGGTTTGTATGAGGTAGTTTGGTACTCAGTCTCTTATCAGATTATATGCTTTCTGTTCTTGTCTTCTGTATTTTCATTCTCTTCCCTTATATTTCCAAACTGTCTGTTGTTTACACGCAGAGACAAGATTAGAATTTATTCAAATACATTATTTTAAAGGAATGCTGGGAAATCACATCAAAACATTTTAACAGGATGTATTTTATATATATGCAAAGAGAATTACTTTCTTTATCATAACTAAGGATTCTTACTGATACAGTCCACACTATTTTATTTAAAGTAATGTCATCAGATCATGAAAGCTGTGGCACATTACATAGGATTTAAACATATATCACAGGACCCGAAAGTATGTAGTCAGCATGCCTGAGCCTTTCTGCTTACATTCATCTCACGTGTCCTCAGTACTATTGGTGGAATGTTGCTAGAGCCCATAGCCTCTGCAGTATCTAGTGCCCACAGCCATTTCTTGATAACATGTGGAGTAAATCAAATTAGTTGAAGATAGGTATTTGTGATGCTGGAGACCTCCAGAGCAGGCAGAGAAGGAATCTCACTTGAGCCTGAAGATGAATGAAATTTATTATCTTTGCCTTTTATAGCAGTCCATCCCAGAGCACTTGTCTGGTGAGGATGGGAAGAATTCTGAAACCACCACCAGCTGTTGTTTAATTGTCTACCACTATTTGTGATTGGTTGTGGCAGCATTGCAGAGTTTACGTCCAATACATTGGTTGTGGGCTTTCTTAATTTTCTTTAGTACATGCTGCTTCCAATATTCGGCAAGAAATCTTTCATTGTACCTTCAGAAAGTTGACTTTTTTTTTAAAAATATGCCTGGTGGCATTCCTGGCATACCCTCCTCCACTCTTCTTTGAACCAGGGTTCATCTCCTGAGTGATGCCAATGGTACGGTGGGGATATGCCCAGCCATGGGAACAAGGATCATAGTTTAATATAATTCTGCTGCTGTTGATGGCCCAGACTTCCTCCTGAATGTCCAGTTTTGAGTTGCTAGATCTGTTCCAAGTCTGTCGCATTCAGCACACTGGGAGTGTCATCCTGGAGGGTCTTCTCAATGTGAAGATGGGACTTCATCTCCACAAAAACTACACAATGATCACTGCTACCAATTCTGTTATACTCAGCTGATTCCCTTCTCAAAAGGAAATCAGTGTATCAGGTGGGTTTGTACGACAGTCAGCAATGGTTACTGTATTGTTGTCAGACCAGCTTTATAACTCAAGACCTTTATTTCACTGAATTCAAATTTTATTCGTTTGACCAGGAAGTAATTTTTGTGTCAATACACCAGGCCAATCAGGCACTGTAATTAAGTACACTTAAAAGAGGATAGTGGCAGCAACTTTCCATTTGAGAACCAGCACATAAGGCACAGTGAGCAGACATACCCATCTAACAGCCAGAAAATTGAGCTTTACAATTTCATAGAAGGGGATGTAATTTTCTGACAGTGACCTCCTGGATTGTACATTTATACATTTAGAATTGGGTAATGCATACTCCGAGCACAAAGCTCTCTGCAAGGAAATGCATAGTCAGAGCTCAGAGAGCAGAA